CATGAAGGAGCTGCATCCAAAGAACATAACCTTTCAACACGCATTTCCCGAAAGATATTATTTTGTGATGCATATGGGCTATATATTTGGGATGGCTTGCAGGGTGGAATGAAGATAAACAACGTCATTACTGTTGCAAGACAGCTTTTCACCATCAGTCATTAATGGCAAAAACAAAATCTGATTACAAGGAGGCTTGTATTGGTATACAATATCTGGTGAATGGCTCTGCCCTAAGAGTTAAGAGGATCTTAACTCTTACCTTTATTCGTATTTATGGCACTGTTGTCCAAAGGGCTTGGAAAGATGTACAGTACCTTGAAAACGTGGCACGGTAAAATGGATCATGCTTAAATTTCTCCAAGAAGCAACGAAAGCAAGAAACATTTTTACATGGTTATGACTGCCAGAAAATGTGTGAAAATTTGCCTTCAGCATGTAATACACCTGAAAATAACTTATTTTCTTACTATTGCCTGAGCATGTACTTCTTCTAATTGAAAACAATGAGAAAAATCAAGGAGGTGGTTTTATACATGCATGATTTTATAGCTCTATCCCACCGCTGACCCTTAAGGATCCTTTTCCTGATGGCTAAATTGATCCAGGGAGGTCATGTAAGGCTGGATCAAGTTGCATGAAGGGAGATGGCACAAACTGACAGGCCATTTATAGACAGGATCTATAGCTAATTCTTATTGTTAATCCTTCTCCTTATTTCAAGGGGAATTCTGTGGATGTGGAGTGGAAAGACTAATCTCTCCAAATATTTTCCCAGTCCAGTAGATTTCTCCAGCATAGGCACTGTGCTGGAGAATTCTGCATGCAGGTACACTGGGAACTACACAGGTTGGGACTTATATAGTTGGACAAAGGATAGCCTGGTGGCTGAAAAATGGTTAAGCAATGAGTTTGTTTTCTGTAGTTATATTCCAACTTCATTTCTAATTCAGTTTATTACGGAAATCACAGGAGTATGCCGTTTTTAATGGCAAAGTCTCATTGATGCCAATTTTCAGCTCACTATGGACACTGGTTCAAAATGCCTTGCATCCCTATACACATTCGAATACACAGATGGTGAAGTCTAGATTTATCTCTATGGAGAGGGCAGGTGCTAAAAATACGAATTTTGGAAAATTGCAGGAGGGAAGACAAAAAGAAAAAGACTCACAGCTGCTCATTGTCCTGCCTTGGCAAAACATGATGACAACCATGGGAAGAAAGAGATTGGCCTAGAAAATGTAAGACTTCACATAGGTATCACTCCACAATAAAGGCCAGAGACATACAAACACTTACATATTAGTGAAGCTGCCATATACAGAAGATCTCCATTTTATAGCACCAAACACCATAAATACTCATTTTTTAGGCATTTCTGCCACTGAATCAGAATCTATGCACCTGAGTGTGCTACCTACAGTTGGCAAAGTGTCCTGTCTCAGGAAGGGATCCACCATATGGGAAGTCAAAGGAAGAATCAGAGATAGAGCTGTGTTTAAGCTCTGATAGTGTAAGCCTATCACAGCACACAGACTCTCATGGGGACTTTCATGTTTTAAAAACCATCAGGGAAAGTCATTTGCTTTCTTCTGAAGAGAGGGGATGTGGAGTTCCTACTCTGCCCTCCTTCCTGCTTATCTCCTCTTTCATCTCTTCCATGTAGGCTGTTTGGACATTTGCCTAGAAGATGAGCTTTGATCTGTGTCTCTGCCTGGTGGCATCCATCCCTCCTCTCAGGGCAGCATCCACAAACAGAGGAGGACCCAGCAGTAAGGATGTGCCCTAGCCTTTAGCTCTATCCCTCCACAGAATCAAAGAAAAGCTTTGAGGTCTCCCTGCAGCTCCCAGTGTTTTTGTGTTCCCCTCTCTTCATTCATCTGCCTGCTAGAACTGAGGGGAAATATGGGAGTCGGGGATTCCTAGGGAATCTTGACACTTAGAGAAATGCGAACAGTTATATCTTTAAAAATATATATTATTATTTTGATCCCACTCATCCCTGTCCCCAAGGATTTTTCCTTTGAAACACTTCTGGTAGCTTTTATTGGATTGGTTCAGAAGAATTCCACAGAACAACTGCATAATCTAAATATTTTAACCAAGTCTTGTTCTACAGTTACCAAAGACAAAAGTAAAGTTTTAAGAAAAATCCCTGAGCATGACAGCTTTTGTCCATGTGCATGTCAGGACTCCCATTTTCCTCCCATTTTCCTCACACTTTAATTAGCTATTAGAAATAGTCCAGAGTAATCAAATAAAGAGCTACTATATGTAGAATATGAGTAGATCCCTCAAACACACAGAAGAAAAATCTTTGACTTTAAAGAAAATCAAGCTTTAAGAAGACAAAATTTAAATAAGTTTTTTTCGTTGATAGTATTTATTACTGCCAACAAAATATTCTGCTATATAATATCTGAGATGACCATTTGAAATATAATCATCATATAATTCCTCCCTTTTTCTGATGCCTCGGTGCCAAGCACACCAAGTCCTTTATAAGCAGTTTGTTTTTCATGTCTTCTAAGATGCTGGAGAGCATTGCTGCTAGTATATCAGCTCGTCAGTCAGGAACTGCAGGAAAAGAAATGGCCCTTTGCAGTCTGGGCATGGAGACTTTCACGCAGGGAAGTAGCCAAACCTTTCACACTTTTCTGCATTGGAGGCAATTTCAGCCCATGCCTTCTTTAATCAGCACAATAGAAGGATTTAATCAGACAGAAAACAGTCCCTTATATCCTGTGGATGGAATATGGTTGGATTTGAAGGTATAGCTTGTGACCTTTCTTCTCTTGATGGTTCAATATGCTGATGGTTTTATTCCCATGTCCCCCTCTGCCTGCTTATGTGACTATTATGTTCAGTCACGGATGGCTGGGAGGCTGCGGATTTCTGTGCTGACTCATGGAAAACAGGATTTCTACATCAGGAGAAAGATGTGTGTGGATATTAATGCTTTGATGTAAGAAAGCACAGAAGCACATCCCCTATACAAACATCTGTTTTCAGAGGACCCTTCACAGCCATCATGCCAGTCCCCCAAGGTATTACACCTCCTCTGCTCGTTAGAGAATTGCTCTTTCTATAGAACAGAATATGATTCTAAAGCAAATCCCCTAATGTGGAAGTGAATCCATCTAGAAATACAGTTGAAAAAATATAAAAATTAAAAAAATATAAAAGTGAAGCCTCTCACTGCCCCATAAGAATGCTCACTGGAGGCAGGAGAGAAAATAGCTCATCTGAGAGTTTCTATGGCACTTTTCAAAAGGAAAGAAAAAAATAAAACAAGGGTCAAAGTGCAAGTTTCTCCCCCGTTTTCAGATGATGCCATGTCTTTCATTTCTTTTCCACTCGCCTTCTCTCCTCAGCTATTTCACCACATAACTGCTCCTCACCATCCTTGAGGTGCTTGCAGTGCGTGGCTGAGCCGCATACAAGGCCATGGTGGCACCAGCTCCCAAGTTGTCATGAGGACAGCGCTCTGTGGTGGCAGCACAGGGCAGCCCGGCAAGGGTGGTTGTGGAATATAGTACCATTAGCCTGAGACATGGTGGGCTGCACCACTTTTGATCTTTATTTTTATTTCAATTCTCTAACTAGTAAAGGAATGTTCCTCCCCCTTTAGGCCCTTTCGTTATCCTCTTCACTGCAGCCGCCTAAGCATATCTCAGTGTTTCTGGAAGTTTTGTGAGAAGAAGCAGTATTAATATCCTCTATATAATGGTAGGAACTGAGGCAGATGGTGGCAGAATAACACAGAAATCCTCTCTCTCTTCTCGGAATGAGTCCCTAAAGGCTCATTCCATCTCTTTAACCACAACACTATCATGTCAGCCCCCCAAAATATCTGGAACGAGGCAGGACTGCAACCTTGCCATGAGTAGAACAGGTATCTGCAGGAAAAATGTCATCTGTTCTGGGAATGGGTCTTCAGTCCCTAAAGGCTCATTCCGTCACTTTAAACATAACGCTATCATGTCAGCCCCCAAAAATACTTGGAATGAGCCAGGACTGCAACATTGCCATGAATAGAACAGGTATCTGCAGGAAAAATGTCATGCCTCTAGCCTCAATGATCTGTCAATTTTTTAAAAGATGACCAGGAAGTGATATCTTTTCTCTGAACCAAACTAATGGTACATCTAATTTTAAGGACCACTGTGAATTTATGCTTCTTACTAACAGGGTGCTTTGGAATTATTAAAAGCCATTTAGAGTCACCATTCCCCAAAAGGGGATATTCTTTTGGGTTAAGACTCATCATACTATTAGATACCTTGTTTTGTGACATATGGATTAGTTGTACAGAATATGAGCATATTCTTACTTATTGGAGCACCTGTAAGCCAAACTGAACAGAGGCAGAAAGCAGTGAGGCTAGATTTCCTCTCCTAAATAAATCCTCAGCACACCAGACAAATGAAGAAAAATATAGCAGAAGAGGAACCAAAATGCCTGAAACAAGTGAGAAGTGGTTTTTGAGTGCCTGCTTCCTGCTGTTGATGGCCTTCAATCAAGGGTAAACAGGACATTACTGGAGCTGGAGGGGAAGTACTTCCACCTTAAAAGAAAAACGTGTCTATGGATCATTCCCTCTACTCAGAGGTACAGCACATTTCTCTCACTAAATCAAATGGCTCTGTACAACACAGTGTAGCACCGTTTTGGCAGTCAGGCACCTCTTGCTGGAGCCATTTACCCACCTGTGCCCTGCACATTTCTTCATGTGCATCAGGCTGGGGGATTTCAGCCTGCAATTGTAAGAAAGCAAAAAGCAGTGTATACAGTCTGGTTTCACAGGAATATCATTTAATCAAGCATTGCATAAGAAATACATGGTTCCTTGGGTGATATGGTAACTTATGTTGGAGCTGGGAAATATAAGGGATGAATTTGACAATATACTACAACACTGGAGGTTACAAAAGACGTGATTAACAGTACGGTCCAGCGTGCTTATACGGCACACCTCAGCAACATGTTCATAAACATGAATCAAACCCTGCAGGCTTGATTAGCACCTTAGCAACACTGCTGAATTACTGGAGGCCTTTATAAATGGGACTGATAAGACATATTATTGTAATCTTCACTTTCTGTAAGTAAGGGCTGTATCTCTGCAGAAGTTTCTCTTCTTTTCTTCCTGCAGGCAAGAGCAATCCCTGTGAGCAGAGCAGTAATTATGCCACCGATCACAGCTGCGCCAACTAACCAGGCCCAGATCTGACGAGCTTGCTCAAGATACGGGGTTAAAAAGTCCTGGAAAGAAGCAAGTTCTGGGGGAAAAAAAGCAGAAAAAGAAACATCCTTTTATTTTATGTAATTTACAGGTAACTGGCAGTTATATAATGGCTAATACCAGAAAACTCAAAGTGAAAAAGACACTACATTTGGTAACAAATGCCCACAGTTCACAAATAGTTTTGAGCAAATCTTCTTAGTCCTTAGAGTTTATGTTTCCCCATTTTTTATTACAAACAGGACCAGAGTTCACAGTATTCTTTAAGGTTTTATCAAAATGGTAAGAACATAACACAAGAACAGATTGTGCAGTATCTCCAAAGGTCCCCCTAATTCAGCATCCTTCCAGCAGCAACAACCAAAGCAGAGTACGAGAGCAGAGTTTAAGAGCAGGTCAAGCATATCCAGACCGTTTCACAAAATACTCTCCCAGACTCCACCAATGTGCAGCTCAGGGATTTCCCAAAATATAGGTCGTGTCCTCGTATGTAATAGTCTCTAGTAGATTTTTTTACTATTTTCATCAGCTTGTCCAGCTGCTCTTTAAACTTCTGTCACAATTTTTTGGACCAAGGAGTTCCTTATCTTAACTATATACTGTGTGAAGAGCCACCTTCTTTCCCTTGCTTCGAACTTGCCACCTGCTTGTTTCATTTGATGGCTCTTGGGCTGAGAGAGACAGTAGACAACTTCTCATAGAGGGCTCTCACTTCACTGTGTGACCTCTTCACAGCACACCCCAGAGTCGGCTGGATGGTATGTGAGAAATGGAAGTATGAATCCAATTAGACCAAGTTGGATTTGGAATACACATCTCCCAGTTACTATCTGCAGCTAGCTAGTAGAACAAGAAAAAGGGACACCTATGGAAAGGTTTTCAATTGCTTCTGAACAGCATTTGTGTAGCTGGACTGCTGTAAATGTGCTCAACGACATTTAGTGTGGTGCTGTCCCAGAATGTCTCCCTGCCCATCTCCCAGTGGTGGTGTCAAGAAAAGCGATCCCATGCAACTCCTTGAAGCATGGTGCTTTTGAATGCACTATTCTCTGAAAACATGCTATTGGTTTGAGACTCTAAAAGCTGCATAATCTTAGCACTTGATGTCTGAATTATCCTTTGAGATACCAGTTTAGCCTGAATATAGTTTGCTTTGCCTCTACAATTCTGCTTTGCTTTTGGGAAATGTGCTTACTATTTCTGGGGTTCTTATTTTCCAGTTTTGTATTCTGAATTTGGACCTGCACACAGTCAGCCTTCTGCTTCTGACCTCTTGCCACAGTCTACACAGTCAGCCTTCTGCTTCTGACCTCGGTAGACATATAACACTAATGCTATATAACACTAAGAATTATTTTAAAAATAGGTTCTTAATACTTCAAAATGGACTCCAGAAGCCTTTGTATACAAGGCACCTCATAATTTCTCATCTACCAAATGAGGACAGCACCAGCCAGTCAGATCCTTTGTACCACGAATATAAATTAATATTTCTGCAGGACTCAGCTTCTGCAGTGGTAGGCACCAAAGAAAAAAGTGTAGGAAGATACATCTTCAGGATAGTCTTTTAAGAGTGTGCAATAAATCATACATTTGGCTACATACAACTTGGCTGAGAAAAAAAGAAACCAAAATTAAGGTGAATTGGATATCTGATTCTTAATGAATTCTGTCTATGCTGTGCAATGTGTGAAGTGGAAAATCTGTGGGAAAAGAGTATATACTTATACATAATGCTTATATATATAAGGCTGGAGGGTGAATTATGATTGTACAGGCAAATTTAATGTTGGAATTCTTAATTTTCCATGCTTGACATTGTAACCTCAACATTTTTTAACCTACCACTTTTATGATTTTATTATAAACAAGATGGAATTAGAAACAAAATGGAGGATGCATATGATAACAGAAACCTGATACATGAGAGAAACTCGATACTGTCTTAAAGGTGCTCAAAAAAGAGCATTAACACAAAGTTCTCCTCCTTGCAGAACTTCATCTGGGATATGAGGGATTTCTAAGCGACTCCTTAAAAGCATACTTTATCCTTCAACCATCTCTCTCCTCTATCGTGATTAATTGGAGTTCTGACTATCTTTTCCTTGGTAAAATATAGCATGACTTTGCGACACAGGGAAGTCACAATTCATGACTGGTCCTTTCAGAAGGGATTAATCTAATCCCTTTTTTTTAATATACATATATATATATATATATATATATAAAATATAATCTGTCACAGATATATCTCTCTTTCTCTCTGTACACAGTTACTGTAATTTATATATATATATATATATAAAATATAATCTGTCAAAGATATCTCTCTCTTGCTCTCTGTACACAGTTACTGTAATTTGCTCGAAGACCATAGCCACCCCCTGGCATTGACTGCCTGTTTTCTGCTTCTGCTTGATGTGCAAAAGATGTTTGGTGTCTCTATCATGAAGTTACCATGGTTACTCTGGGGTGCCAGGGAATGGAGTATCCCAGGGCTTCCTACAATCTGTAAACACGTGACCCAAACACAACAGTAAACCTACAGCTGTTCCCAGGCTTGTTTGCCCCGCAGAAATCCTGCAAACTGGGATTTTGAGGACTCCATTGCCATAATGCTTTAGTCTCTGACAGGGCAAGAGCCATGAGTGCAGTGATGTTTTTCTGATGACTACCTGGAAAAAGTGCTAAGACAGAGTGTAGAAGAGAGAGCTGCTCTCTGGAAGCCATTTTTTGAGTGAAAGAAACATGTGGTTTTAGTCACCTGCCCTGGAAGATGCCCTGGTTTCAAGTTATGGAGATCCTCAGTCTATCCTAACACTTGTTCCTGCAGTGAGGAGCAATTCACACGACCTTTGCACTACACTGGAGTTACCCGTATGGAAACTCTCCTGTTTGGAATATCTTTCAGAACGTTGTGTTCTTACAGTTTAAGACTTTCCATTAACACAAGAGAAAGTCTGCAGAAGATGGTGGGCCCTAGTCCTCTATCTTTGGAGAGCAAGAGATGTTGTGCAGTGAGTCTTAATGAGCCATGTATTGTTGTAAATGTAAGCTGTTCCTTTTTAGTCCTGTCTTAAATCTAAGGTGGACAACACAAGAAGCAATGACTCCTACCCTTAAAATCCCCTGCATCATATGGCTATCATATCTCACTGAAAACATGAGAATAAGGCATTTTATAATAAATTTTATAATCATTTTTTCTCAGAGATGAGTTGGCAGGAGTAATCCCTGCTTGTTACTTCTGCACAGTAGCATTGCTGTGCGTTTACACCCACTCACTGGCCACACTGACACATTTGCAGAGTGGATTATAGACAAAAATGGATTATTTTGGTGTTTTGAAAGGGGATAAATCAAATATTCTTGGTATATTTATAGAGCAACACAGTTTGTTGTTGTTTGTTTGCTGTCATAGCTGCTGGATAATCTGAGTTAACACTTGCACATGATAGCTGCTCTTTCACAGTCTGCCTATATGAATCTCCCAAAAAGGAGGTGAGATCTGGCTATAGGATATGTGATACATGCCACCACCACATTACGTGCTACTAGGGTGCTAATACCTCATAGAAAGATAGTTATCTTTTGCTAGGTCTCAATGGAAAAAAAGGAGAAAGCAAACAATCAAAAAAGTGATTTTTAAAATCCATTCTTCAAAAAATGAGAAAGAACCAGCCACACATACAGGTGTTATCACATCATACCCATGTGGAAAAGTCAGACTGTATCTATGGTTTTATCTGTTCCTATATCCAGAAGAAAAAAAAAAAAAAAGACTTAGTCCATAACCTTAAATGCAAATGCTTGGAATAACTCTTGCAATAGAGTATTGTTTTGACAGCCATTGCTAGGTGGTGCAATTAGTCTTCCAAATCCTTTCTAAGGATGCCAGCAGATGTTTGTCCTCAGCAAGACACGCCAGTTTGTTAGTTTTACAGTTCATGGATTACAAGTCAGGGAGGGCTGGGTGGCTTCTTCACTTTCTGCTCAGATCAGCACCCAGGCAATTAGACTCTGACATGTCTTTGATTCCTGATGGATGGATTTCCATGTATATTTTTATAACAACTTCTACTTCAGGGTTGTCATATGTATGAAAATACATGAAGCTACAATTTAAAAATCCACATACTCTCCTGCACTGATTTGCTTTTCAGTAGAAAGAAGGGCTTCAGGCATCAACTTTTTCCCCAGGGTAGAAAAACATTTTAATTTAGCATTAAAATACCATTTTCTTGTTGGATCCTTTCCCACTTTTTTTTCTTGTAACCAGGCTCATAATGTTCTGTTTGGAACACTTTCACCTCTACAAAGTTGTTGTGCTCTAGCCCAGAACTGCCATTGCTGCTTTTCCCAGTCACTTGCTTTAAAATCAAGCAAAACCTAGTTTCTTTGTTCATTCCTCACCTATCCATTCTCGCTCCTCTCTCTTTCCTCTTCCTCCCTATTAGAAAGATCTCCAGAAATTCTACCTATGCTCATCACCCCCAGATCTTCACTGATGTTATTTTTCTCAATTTTTTTGACTTTTTTTTCTGCATGTCTCATAGTTCCTGGCTTTCATGCACAGACCCATACTTTCTGTTCTGCCTTGAGTACATTGAAGGCAGGTCTCCTTCTTCAGCTCCTGTACTAAGAAGTTCCTGTTTATTCTTAAGAAGCAGCTAGCATTCCTATACAGGGAAAGTCTGTGCTTAGGAACTGAAATATTGAGACATATCCTTATCCGCATCTGAAATTCTAGAGCATTTTCCATTTGTAAACTATTTTTCTTTGGATGAGAAATAGCTCTCTTCCTCTCAACGAGATTTAACAGGAGCTTGAGCAACATCTAAGTATTATCTGGGCCTTCTAAATGAGGCTGAATTTCAGTCTTTGTGTTGATCTTTCAAATAATTAAGGGTCTACTTTCCTATATTAAGAACATGGGCAGGAGTTAATGAGAATTTCATTTTCTGAGCCCTTCATGTTCGCTCTTGCCCAGGAAGAATGAAGGAGGCAACAGAGCTAAATTGTTAAATGGTAACAAGTTTACTGCTTGCTTTTGCAATATCAGTTCAGTTCTCATTATTTCTGATTCTCATGATATTTGGAATTTTTGATGGTATGAAAACCATTCATATCATGATTACATCATATCATGAGATTTGCTTCATTAAAATTAGGTGTGTATTTTTCTAGTTGTGATCAAAAATAAAAATATGGATATGTAAACAAATGGGAAAGATAACTATTAATGAAAGCAAAGTATTAATTTTGAGAGTATATTTTAAGTGATTTTGAAATTATTTTCTGTTTGAATAAATGGGGTTAGTCAAATTGTATATAGCAAGCTAGAAGAAAGACTGACTTCTGTCTCTGTGTTGTGTTATGAAATGGCCTTAACAATTATCCAGGTGAGTTAGAGTTTTCCTTTCCTTACATATAAAATAATCAGTCATAAAATGAGTTTGCTGGATGGCTCTAAATCACAAGCTGGATTTTACTTAACTGTAGAATTAAATGAATAAGCTGAATGCACACTTAGACAGTTTATCACGTGTGCAGAATCCATGCACCCTCATCATTAAGCAAACTCCTTCAGAACAGCAGAGGTGCCCTGGGCATTGTTACCATCTGATAAAGAGCAAAAAAAAAAAAAAAAAAGCAACAAGAATGCAGATTTTCCTAAAATCTCTCTGCTGTTTCTGCTATATAGTTACTATATCTTCAATTCTCAACTGCCTTTTAATTGAACAGATGTTTTTGCAGAAGGTTTTCTACCTCAAACATGAAAAGCAAGCATGCCAGTAACCTACTTGGAAATGATGCTTTGCAAAGATGATAACTGCAACTCATATCCAGGATAGATTTTGAAAACAGTGAGCACCAGATATGTATCTGATTATTCCAATAGACCGTATTTATAATGGATTGGGTCAAAGTATCTAAGAAATCTTCTGCTCCAGATGACTTTATATCTTTAATAGAATTTAACCCTTCTCTTAGACAAGAAGGATAACTGTGCTACCAAAGTGAATTATGAATTATGAAGTCCTCTACCCTGAGCACAAGACCTGAGTCTAACTGAGGTTCCCCAGGAGCTAAAGCTCCCTGTCCAGTCTGTGCTTGAGAGAATGTATGAAACACTGAAGTCAAAATATAACAACACAAATCAAAATTGTCAGTAAACAATGCAAAATTGATGAGATTCAATTAAAAAGTGGTCCAGATGCATTATGTACAAATAACCACAGAGCAAGCACAAAGTCAGTGGATCACCTAGTTTAAACTGCTGTACAGACCTTGTGCTGTGCTTTAATAGAGGTGAATTTTATTCTGGGTATTTAAGAGATCAAATTTGTAAACCAAAAAGGCGAAGTTTGGATCTGCCTGCCCTTCAAACAAAGTTTAGAATCTGAAAAATCCACTGGTTTCCATTTATGTTTCACGGTATCACCTGAGCTGGGCAAACAGTAATTCAAAATCCAGTCCCTTTACTTCCTAGCGCTGATCAGAAGGTGACTTTTTGGGTCAGACTCTGTTCTTTATGAGTCTGTGTAGTCACACAGCATAGACAGAATATGTAGGATTGATGACAGTTATTAATTTTTGGTTGCCGCTTTTCGAATAGCATCATATTGGTTATATATAAAACTATAAATATATATTATATATAGTAATGTATATTTTATATATATATATAAATTGACATTTCCTTTGAATTGTAATGTTACCTGGTTCTTCCAGATACTGATAATCATATCCCAGTTCTCTTGATGGAATAAAAAATTCTCCATTTCGGTAAAGAGGGATAAAAGGGACCATGTAGTTTTCTCGGTTGTGCCCAATGGGTGCATTGGCTGCTGGGTAAATTTCTCGCAGGGGCCTGTGTCTTCTTAGCCACCGCTCAAAAATGCTGTGAAAGAAGAAGAATGACTATTAACGGTGGAGATTGTCATAGGTTTTATTTCAGAGATCATAGAAATGCAGAATCACACAGATATCAGAAACAGTCAAAGGGGCTTGAACCCTGGGGACAGATTGACACACATTTTACCTTGTGATTCCATATGTTCAAAACTCTCCACATAGTTCTGGATTAATTACTTCAGTTATGATTTCCTATGCAAGTCAATGTAAAGCAAAGGACTGCAGTGCTGCAGGGTGGCTGAATACATTTTGAAATTTCAGATGCAATTCACTGTCTCAGTATGATCTAACTATATCTTCTGCTCAGTAATTCACATTGTCCTAAGGGATAGACAGAAGAAGATTGAAGACCGCAGTCCTTCCTCTTCACCTTCAGAACTTGTTATGGTCATTTTTGAATAGACCTGTTCCCATCTTGTCTCACACTGCTTGGTGCGGTGGTCCCACCAATGATGATTGGTCACAGGCTGAAGGGTTCAGATTCCTCTGTGTAATTAATAATCAACTGTTCTGACACTGATGTTCTCTCAAAAACACGGACCTTAAATCCAAGATCTCTACAGCATCAGGATCTCTGCGTATCACCCCAGAATTTTGCAGGTAGATTTCATCTCCTATCTTTGGGCAGAAGTGTTAAGAAAAAATCTGCTTAATCCATCAAGTTAAAGCTTGCCCACTCTCACTCATCAAAACAGAACTGGGGCCATAATTTCAGTTATTTTTTTAGAATCAAAAGATTTAATAGATGAAAGCATCACTATGTTCATCCACCTTGTCAGCCCTTAACAATGTGGTCATTAATCTTGATTAAATTCTTCATTTGTGGCTCTCATCTTCAGTTGATTTCATCAAACCTGTCTAGAAAGACTCTTATCATAATAAATAATGTTCAGATGGACAAATTTAAACAACGATATCAAGGCTTTAGTTGTAGTTATCACAGGGAAGTTTGAACAACAGCTCTGTAATCAGATTACATCTCCACTGAATAGCATAGAAAAAATCAGTAATCATTACAAACAAAATGGCGTATAAAGGAAATAAGGGTCTTAGTTTAGACAGGAGAGAATGATGAACTTCAGTTCTTATCCTGTGTGATCTTAAACCTTGCCTTAGGTAAGGCATTCTGCCCATCATGTAGAAGAAGGCAGCTGAGACAGATGTTTTCTGTGAGACAGAAACATTAGAAGTGCCAAACACTAGTTCTGGGAGTAGAGAAGCATTTCAGGAAGAGGAAATAGGACTTATATCATTTTTTAAAATTCTGATGGTGGTCCATGTCTTAACATCTGAATGCTTAATCTGAGGTGCTTTATAGGGAGTGACTTTTAGAAAATGCTGAGTACTCACATTCAGAAATTCTGAAGCGTTGATGAGCACACAATTTTGAACGGGAAGCCATCACTGACCCGAAATAACTTCGTATGATACCCTGAAATGCAGCATCCTATCTGGGTGACTTAAATGTTGCAATTTCACAAGCAGTTTCAAGAAAAATTCTTAGGATAGTAATCTTTTAAATAGAACAAAAATGCAAACCATTTCCATGGAAATGAACATATGCACTTTGGATTCTTTCATTTGCAATGTGGTTGCTACATGAGATATCAAGCTTTTCTAAGCAGTAGCATGAGTATTGAATTGTCTGTCCTTGCAGCTGATCCTTATGCAATCATATGCCCTTGATTACAGATATGATGAGTTCTGCTGATGTAGTAGCTATATCATACATTTTGGTGATCTGTTTATGATCAGTTCCCTCTCTAGCCATATAGCACCAGCATAAAATTATATAGCCTTTACTGACATCCATTTCATCTATCACAACGCTATGCCAGTGTAGAAAATTCATAAATATCTCTGTGGGTTTCAGGAGTCATGTTTTCCACCGTTTCCTCTTAAATATCTGGCTCTGTGCATTTATCTTGACCTTCCTTCAGCCACATTAAGATATTAGTATCATATTCTGCTTGCTAACAAAGTGATTGGATGAAGATACATTCAGTCTTTCCAGTTAATGGCTTATTCCCAATTTGTTCAACAGGATGGATTTGTAGTACTAGCCTTTTCTTGGCAAGATAAGGCATGCTGCTTAGTATTTTCTTGAGTATCTTCATGTTTTTCTTCTTTTGCCTGAGAAAAAGTGTTTAGAGCCTGACAGCTATAATACATCACTTCTATTTTTCACATTCTCGTCTGTTTGTATTTCTCCTTTTAAAAGGGAGGCACTGCCATTTCCTTCCTTTGTTAAGAGGAGTTATGAGGAAAAAAAGCTCACCCTCGCCTTGTAAAAGAAGTTTCCTGACTGGGTGGGAAAAGAAAACTCCCTCTTGCATCCAGTAAGGGGGAAAAGCTGGGGAGAGGGGGTAGACTTAAGCTATGTCTCTGTTGTGAAGTACAAGTAGTACATGCTGGACACCTTAGGCCACTTCCTATTGAAGAGCAGCATTTTGAGCCTCCCCAGCCGAGGCCATCAGCTCCCCTCACAGATTTTTAAAAATCTTGACTACTAATGTAACCCATGGCTTGTGCTATCAATCAGGCAATGATGTTGGCACAGTGTTGCTGTCCCTTGGAGACTTGCCTTAACTGAAAATATTTTGGTCACAACAATTGTATATATGGAGAAAATAATCAAACTGTATTTTGCCTCGGTGTCCTGGAGCCAACGAATTAAAAATTCTATAGGAAAATGATTTTTTTTTCTCAGCTAAAGTGCAGAAAGAGAATTGGTTCATGATTGAGGAGATAACTGAGAGATTAGAAGAAAAGTTACCCATTTTCTGTTGATCTGTGATAACTGTCATGTCTCAATCTATGTATTAATTTGAGGCAATTCACATCAAAAATGCTCTCATTCATGTAATGCTATTGTCTTCTGCAGACAAAGAGAACACATGTGAACATTTAGAATGGTTATCTGACAGCTCGTCCGTGTATCTTAGACTACAAAACCACTACCTCTATCAGATAACTGGCGTGTTTTCCATGGCAAAGATAGTTCAGTACCTCAGTTGATCTATTGCTGGTAGAACTTTTGATTTTATTTTGTAAAGTAAATCGTTAGTAAGTTGCTTCATTTTAGTATCTTGAAAATATGTACTTATTTTCTGTACTTTGCTCTGTAGCTACAAACTTGAAAGAGTAGCTTAGGACTGCAGAACTAAAACTACACGTGCACAGATGAATGTGCTCTGATAACCTGATCCCTTTGAGGAGTAATGATGTCCTCTGTAAGAAAGCAAGGTATGTAGCAGGATGGTAGACTTGAACTTCCTGTAGCAGGTGTTTTGGTTACCTTGGAAAAACTCTACTATCGTGTTTTCCTTATATGAACTCCCAGTGTCCTCCCCTGTTCCAGAAACCCTAACAGAGGAAGACTATGAATAAAACGGCAACTAAAGGCTTCCCTTCCTTTGTTCAATGAGACCAAGAGTAATAAAAAAGACACACAAAATCAGGGCCATGTGATATACAATTTCTCTATGACTTCTGTGAAAAAAGAATAGTGTCAAGCAGAGGTTCATATTAAGGGAGAGATCTATCTGATTCTTACAACTGCCCTGGCTGCTCTTTCTCAGGATTTGGCCCATGAGGTCAAATAGCTAATTATTTATTTTTGTACAAGTAGGGGTTATATTCTCCAGACTTGGAGGCTTTTTTTTTTTTTTACCACTGCAGTGCCAGCTAAACTGATGTAATTTGGGAGATGTTGGCAATGTTGAAGAGAGCAGATGGTCCAGAGGGTGGTGGGAAATACAAGGCAGGATAAAAGAGAGAAGAGCTAATCAAAAGGCATTGGGAATTAGACAGAGGGGATGAGAACAGGGAAAGCGTAACCTGGAATCTAACAGGGATAGTCCATAAGCAGTCATTACCAGAGATGAAAAAGGAGAGGGAAGGGGAAGAACAGCTACTGTGTGAAAAGCAAATGTTACCCTTAGTTTGACTAGAAAAAGAAGAAGCAGATATGTTGGTGTCTCTTAGGGACACACAATTCCTGTATGCAAACAAACAAACGAAAAAGACCTTTTGGTCTAAGCCAATTCCTTTCTTATCTTCTTCCCAGGAACAAAATACTTAGGGCTTGTAATCAGCTATCAGGATGCATTTGTATCAGGGAGGTTATCCGCTGGAGTGGGCTATCCTGCTCGGGCTGAAGAAAATGAATCCTATTTATCAGGTCTTTTGGTACAAGATTGGACACTGAAAAAGGAGAGATTCAGTGACTATATCTTTAATTTTTTGCCCTCCCTTCCCCTCACCCCCCCACACACTCCAAGTGCCAAATTATCCAAATCTTCAAGCAATTGTGGTTGGTGACCAGAGCAAATTACCTTGGCTGTCTGTGCCTCAGTGGTTTAAGATTTAAATTTAAAAAAAAAGGACATGATTAATGTTGGAAAAAATTATATGTATATATGGAATTAATACATCTTAATGGTGTACTAACTATATGGGACTATTATTTCCAAAAGAATGCTGGATCCCTTTTTGTTCCATGTTTGTGGCTTTCATTGACTTCTACAAGAGGCTTAGAGGAGGTTTTGATAGCTATATATAAAAAGGTATTTCCTAAAATGAAGAAGATGTGTAGTGACAGGAAATTGAAAGAGATAGGAGAATGTTTTGAATTTGCAAAACAAACTCTCACATTTAGAGCCCCCCAAAATTTGCTATCTATAGTATATGTACAAAGCAGGAAAAAAATTTTAAGGTTGGGGTTTTATTAAACTAAATATTGAAGGTTTAAGAATTACTGGAGTATGATGATTCAGAATCTATGCAAATAATATTTTTATGATAAAAAACCAGTACTTTAGTATTGCAGAATAGGATGGATTAGACAAATTTAGACTAAAACAAAGCTCGCAGTTTGTATTTAAACCTTGCAACAACTAATTTAGGGACACTACAAATTCACAATCACTTTAACACTTTGGTTCAATCAGAAATCAAGTGCTTGACTCAAAAATAACTGAAGGA